GAAGCTAGACCACACAAAAGAAGGATAAGGGAACCAAAAAGCTGGAAATCAGGGGCAGTTGAACTACCTTCTGCAGTTCGGCGGGCGCCCGCAGGGGCTTGCAATTCCGAGGATGGCTACTGCCATGTTTGGCGGGTGCTCGCGGTGGCGCGGCGGGCGCCCGCGGGACATCTGCGGGACCTTTGCGGGGCCTCGCCAAATGAGGCAGAAAGTTGAGGGGATCGGTGGGCGCCCGCGGGAGCTTGCCACTGCACTATAAATCAAGGCTTCTCGTAAGCCTTTTCGAGCCGGAGCGTTGACGCAGCTTCCACTATGAACACTAAGCCACGAACTTCACAAAAATGGCGACTAAAGAGGTTAGGTCCCGAAGATGACTCCCCGACATGGCGCACGTATTTCAATAGAAAGTTGTCAAAACTGCTTCTTTAATCACATTCAGGGAAGCCGACCTGAAACCAGACAAAAGTACACAAGTAAAGCAAAATTGTACATTATAGTTAGCTAACGAACTTAACTAATGCAAATAAGGGCACTTAAATATGTAATATTCGGCGCTTATCACACATCAAGGAAGCCATCTTAGCTTCTAAAATACCATACATCCATGGTATGCAAAAATATAACATCAAAAGTAAGCATGCTAAACATTTGTATGTCAATACACAAAAATATTCCAAAGTGCTCATAAGCCTCTAAGGAAGATGAGCATCCGAGAACATTGTCTCTTTACCTGTAAAATAACCCAAACAACTAGGGTGAGTAATCAAGTTACCCATAGGAAGAAGCATATGCGTATACCCTAAAGTTTCAATATCATTGTAAGATTAATATAGACGAATACAAGGGAGCATTTCACTTAACGTCTATGTTCAAGGTGTTCTAAGGGATCATCTTAAGCTAACTTAAAGGATTCTTTAACAACACAACATCAATATGGATATACTAAATAACATCAAATCGCCAATAACCAAAATTACAAGTCACAATTAAGCATTGGTTGTCAACTTGGAATTGAATGCGAAACCAAAAAGTGAAAAACTTGGACATCAAATCCCGGAGTAAACCAAGACCTAAATAGTTATTTCAGGCATTAACCCGCTGGGAATACCACCCTAGTGCGCACTATACAAAATAGGGAAAACTCGTACCTCCCGCACTAGAGTCAAACTATAACCATATGAATTGTAACAATGTCCCAAGAGAATCCACAATTATGATTAAGTTAAAAACTTATATACAACAATCAAGCATTATGACCTGTCAGGCGTTCGAACGTTCTAACCTACATGATCAGATGTTCTGACGTTATGACATTCTGACGTTCTGACCTACATGGTCAGACGTTCTGACCTCTGAACGACAAAACAAAGAGCAAAAATCAGGGCATGTAATCCACCTTCCATGCACAAGTAATTTGAAACCACACAAACCATGTCTTAGGGTTTTAAGTCTAGAATGGCATAATAAATGACAAGTCTTCATCATGATATAATGTACAAAACAATACCACCAACTTATCAATTAAATCATGCTTCAACAATAAGCTTTATATACTAAAAGAAATCAACAAGAATGTAGTATTGTCATCACAATAAATATAGCAATTCAAGTCAATAAGAATTGTATATAACATTAATAATCTTATACAAAGTAATTACATATCATACATACTTAAATCAATAAATCTAAGTCACATGTGAGGATTTCCTATAATATGCAAGACTTCAATATTAAAAGTATGTACACAATATATATTAAACCCCAAAGGATCATTAAACACTCAAAAGTATAAACATACTACCACATCTACCTCAATAGAGAATTGAATCTCTATAATCCAAGCAACCAAACTTTAAAATGGAAAACAATTCTAGGGTTTTGTAGAGGAGAGTGAGAGGAAACTTTTACTTCCCAAGGTTAAAGGTCTAATGTGAGTGGAAGGAGGCCAAAATGAGGCCAAAAGCTCTAAGCCAAGCTTTTCCTTCAATGGAGGCTAGGTTCGGATGAGAGCAAAAGGGAATGAAGATGAGATAAAATAAAATGTGGTTGGTAGAGGATCTAGTATACCTCCACTCACTAGGTGTTCTTACACTACCTCTCACACACACACAATGCAAGACTCAATTTGGTGCCTACATTTGTCACCAATCCATGGCTCCTTCCTAGGCTTAATCTTAAGCCTACACTTGCTAACCATCTAAGCCAACAAGTGCACCTATCCTAAGCCAACAAGTGGGTGAATCTTCACCCTCCAAATGTCAAGAGATTAAGCTTCCAAGTCACTCCACCCCAATGCCAACAAGTGGCACCATGAGAGTGTGACACTTGTCACACTTTCCAAAAATTGCAAAAATGTCCTTTTCCAAAATATCTTCCAAATAAAATTGCAAAATGGTTCCTAAGACGAAAAATAATTATTTTACATAATTACACTAAAATCCCAAAAATCAAGAATATTTCCAAGAAAATATGCATCCATGACCTTTATAAAAAAAGTAAGCAACTAACATGCTTTTCTACAAAAGTAAAAATACAATTACCTTGGAAATCAAATATTATGGATGCATGCAAATCCGGAATCAAATCCGAACACGTAAAGTGTGGTTATGCAAGAAAAAACGATAGACGGAAAAAGGACGAAATAGGGAAAAGGACAAAAAAAAAAAAGAAAAAAGAAATTACCGAAAAAAAGAAAGAAAGAAAAATGACCGGGTCATTACATAGATATTACAATTGCAATGAATAAGCATGAACTATTAAATTCAAGTATAAATTGTTTACCTAGCTACCATTAATCTAAGATGTAGAACAACTCATCAAGACTAAGCATAATCCATCAAACTAAGAACAATTGTATTCAATAAGAACATTGCACGGTCAGCATTAAGCACAATTACAAAAAGTACTCAATGTAGAGATCAATCCTCAATCAACCACACATAAGACAACATATAATCAATTACATGATCAATTGAAAGAATTATCAATATAAACATTGGTACAACCAAGTTAGAATTCACAAGACCAAGAAAACACATATACAACTTATAATTGCCCAAAATAGAAGATAAAAGATACAATTACACAAGTTTAGAACTCATCCAAGCCCTAAGTGATGATTTAGCCGGACATAAAGGTGATGGATGTGATATTCATGGCCTCAATTCTCATCTCCATACTTGGCTTCATCTTCTTCTTCCTCCTTGAGAGCAAACCTTAGAGAGAGAGAGAAGCCCCAATCATAGATCTAAAATTCCCCCAATTCAATCCAAAGAATAATCAAGAAGTCCATTTAAATTGGGCTATATCTTTTATTTATATGTGACTCCAAGGCTCCCAAAATGGTTAGACCCTGTACACAAGGACACCTCATCGATTGCCCACAAGCCCCCTTGAATCAAGGCTTAAAATTTTATTTTCGTAACTGTTAGGCCCGCTCGATCGATCAGTGTTCTTGGTCGAATTTTATTTTCGTAACTGTTAGACCCGCTCGATCGATCAGTGTTCTTGGTCGATCGATCCAGCTTAAGGCTCGATCGAGGAATTCTCTTTTGCAGAGGGCATTTTCTACTATAAATATTGTAAAGAATCAATTGTGCAATCGGACGGGAGATCAATGGATGAATGATAGTTTGATAATGTATATCAAAAAAGTAGATAATGAAGCTATCATACAAAGTCTTCAAAATTTTGAAAACTTACGGAGCGAAATGTAAAGGCACTTCATGGAATTATTAATGAATGTTAAAGGATAGTTTGAATGTTAAATTGTAAGTTGTAATTTTTTTTTTCTCCGTTGTTGTTAAAGGCCCCCCCTCCAAACTTCAGCTCCATAAATTGAATGGTACCAAAATTCCTACTGTTTTTCGTTCCTCTCCCTCCAAATTGTATGCACAGTTGTAGCTACAGTGAGCTTTAGCATTATATTCTTCAACTTCCTCCCTTCAGACTCTTGGAACCCCATAAAATGATGTCGGAGAGCGAAAATGAGGGCCATTGGAGACAAGACTCACTTCCCACAAAGAACAGAATTCTTGAAGTAAATGGGCATTGAAAGAAGAGGTGTTCATGATTCTTAATATTCATTCTAAAAAAAAAACACACAACTTATGCTCCTTAATTCTCCCATTTTAGTCCGCTTATGTTGTGTGGACAGCCTAGCTTTGATAGCCATCCACAAAATCGTAGCATGTCTAGTGGTATGCCCTCTGAATCACACACTATCCTTCCAACGAACAAGAGGCCCTTTAGGCCGAAAATAGATGAGATGGTAAAACAAGAAGCGCAACTATATTCATTGTCAACCACTATAAACATCTATAGAAGCGTAAGAACTTATAGGACAGGAATCAAAAACAACTTTATCAAAGGAAAAAAGAAATCAAGGATACAATTACTGTAAAGAGTGATGCCAAAAATTTATAAAATAATAATGAGGATTTTGCATGTCAGAATCTAATCGATTCATTAAGAATGTGATCAAAGGGCATTCTCTAAGCCCCAACAACCCTTTCCCTGCGAAGACTTTTGGTACTTGTCCTTACCCAGTTTCCTTGTACACGACGAATTTGATAATCTATTAAAACCTGATATATCAATTAATCTCAAGATGCAGTGTTACACACACACACACACACACACACACAAGATGCAGTGGGTCACACACACACACACGTGTGTGTTATTCCATCTGAATCAGGATCCTCACAACACCTATTACTTCAAGACGCAAAACACGCGACATTATTACACCCAAACCAAAATCGCAGCACACCCCCCACCTATATAGATCGAGAATGCAGTACCATTAATCGAGAATGTTACATGTGCGTTATTGATGTAATGTTGTTGCTTGTGTTGCTTTTTGATGGAATGGGTTTTGCGTCTCAATTTAAGGTGCAGGAGAGGAATCAGATCCCATTCCACTCACCTCCAAAACCTGTTAGTTAGCTGCATCCAGAATAGACAGGTTGAAGTACTGCCATGAGACACAGTCCAAATGTAAAATAAACAATACCATTTGTGAGAAAATTTGAGTCAGTCAATCAACCATTACAGATACATCTAGGACAACAAACATAATGCACTAGACTGGACTCGGCCAACCAAATGTAGTTGAACATATGTAACTTCCAGACTAATCCTATTTGGTGGCCTGCGCGATCATGTTGCTTATTGAACTGGCCTGCTCTTTAGCAGCTTCCACTAAGGAATCCTGCAAAACAAACATGAATCCATTCAGATTCAAAATCTTATAGAAGTAAATGCATCACATGTTTGTAGTATACCTGTGCTGCTACTAGGCGCGCAACTGTCTTCTTGCTCGGTTCTTGAAGTTCACCAGCAATTAAAAGCTCGTCCAATATATAATAAGCCTGCCAAGATTTGTCACACACTTCAAGAAAACAAAATTTGAAAAGATAAATAAAAATAAAATCAGCCACAAACACCAAATGAGATGCTAAAACTTTCATGACAATTTCACCTTCTAATACATGATTTTGGTCAAATTCCTAGATCGGTTTTTTTTTTTTTTTTTTGATAAATAAATTCCTAGATCGGTTTTACTGGGAAAAGGGGCAGCATGTAGTAAAAAAGTTGATCAAAACAAGTCTGAAAATCTTACCAAAACAAAAAGAGACCAGTTACCATCTCTATGATCCCTACTACAGGAAAGGAGTTGTATTAGACTCTGATCAAAGATCTAAGAACATCATCATTAGCGACTACAAATGGTTGTTCAGAGATTGGCTTTTACGCTTTCATTTGTGATTCATTCAAAGATTAGTGAGACTTGGCTTGTGGAAAATATAATTACAAGGTGAATGGGTGGTTGTGCAAGGAGGTTCATAAGAGAGGACTAAGAGTGGTCCAAAGACAAGCTTTATAGGGTTTCTTAGACTAAGAAAGCTAAGTATTGCCAATCTTACCAACGATCTTCTGTTATACATTAACATGAAACTGTACAGCTTAAATACACAAAGCCCTATTACTTGGGAATAGCCAAACGGATCCTTCTGCACCATTAAATTCTATATGGGGTCATTTTTTAGCTGTTGAACCAAGCAAAAAATTGAAATATTTACTATATCAAGCATTGTCCTTCCGCCACAAATTAGACAGAGATTTGAAGAAAAAGCAGGATAAAAGGAAAATACCTTATGGAAATTAAAGATTAAATCCAGCTCGCAGACCTAGAAAATGAAGAAGTATTGTCAATATCAATTTCAGATAGTCTATTAATCCAATTCAGTCTTTTAACGGTTTGCTCACACTTCCAAAATAGCGGTCAAGTATTTCAACAAAATGGTGTATAATTTCAAGGATCTCCAATTCATTATCATTCTGGTCGATGCACATGCAGAAATACAGGCTGGCATATCTGCAAAAGAGGCACATAGAAAGTTGAAAAAATTATTGCATTATCTGATCAATCAACTAAAGAAAAAGATGGAGACGAGAATATCCTTTACTTGCAGAAAAATGGTGCAAACATGAACTACAAATTGGGATGGGGAATCCAACCTACCTTTTATAGACAGCTTTATAACCCCTCCATTCCACAAAGTTGCAAAGCTTGGGGCCTCGTGTGAGAATTAAACCACTGAGTTCTCTGATTACCTACACAAGGTGTGCATCCATATAACAAAATTTAAATCATTAATGAAGCGCACATTGCTTCAGGAAATCGTCATGCTAATAAGTTGTGTTTCATCTGTATGAAAACCTAAATAGTCAAAAATATGACTAAAATGGGTAATCATGTCCCTTTGTAATGAAAACCACTTAATTGTACACTACAAAGCTTGAAACAAAAAATAGCATGATATTCCAGCCAAACAACAAGATTCGTCATATATCCTGTGCAAATGCTAAGCCCCCCACAGGGAAAGAGAGGAAAACATTTTCATACCCACCACATTCTGTTGATTGAAGTGATCAGTTTATAACTTCTTTAATTTTATACAATGTACTTGGCATAATTCAACTCCAGTTAACCAAGCAAAATTCGTAATCCTCCTTCCAAGAATACAAAACATAAACAGCATTTGGTTTGAGAAAGATTGTATAGTAAAAGGAAAAGTTACCTTTGTTCTTTCCTTTTGGGCAAAGGGTGAATACCACTTTGTCAACCTCACTTTTCCTTGTCGACTAATGAGAAGCACAAACTGAATCTGGGACAAGCACAGAAGCAGAAGCCACTAAACATTTTTACTATCTTTATGGATGGTGGAAACATAAGCCAATAAATTATTTTAGAAAAGTCAATGCTTCTAAAGGGCTATTAATCATACAATATATCTTATCAAAGTAGTAAATCATCTCCCCAAGGAAGAATAATGTGCAGTAAGCAGAAAGAAAACAAAGGAGAAACTAATATTCTCCTAAATGGCAGCAAATATCAGTCAATGAAGAATAGACCAGCTCATGATATTCAATTATTCACCCAATTTATCTCAGTTTTCTACTAAAAGGAAATTTTTTTTTTTTTTTTTTTTGGATAAGTCTACTAAAAGGAAAATATTTATTAAATTTAACTTATAATCACTGATAATATTGTGAGGCTAGAAAGGCAATACTTGTTTATTCACAGTGCAACATGACTAAGAGCCCATTTGTTCTAGGTTTCCTTCAACAAAGAAAACATTGGTGAGTCCATCTATCACTGAGTGGATCCAACAACATATACATTTTGCACATAGAAAAATGGTTTTGAAAACGCCATGACTAGGATCAGGGCCGGCTTTATAGCCATTTGGAAAATACTTTATTATCAGAAGTGGGACCACTTTAAGTATTCTTTATTAGATAATGTACTTTAAATTTTATTTTTCTTTTTCTGGATCCCAATACAAAAAAATTGATTGTTCCTAAAGGTCCTATTTCTTAAACATTTCAATCTTTTCAATTTTTATCTTTTCCACAAATCAAAAAGTAAGAAAAATGGATTATATATAAAAGTTACAGAGTTGATTACTTTTACTTGTATTAAAATACTAACATTTAAAAGGCCTCCTTTATGCCTTAGGCCTTAACTTTTATTGAGCCTCCCTGACTAGGATATAAAGTTCAGAGCAAGTCATCTCCTAGTTGGATAATAATTAATAAAAGTAGTCCTTAAAATAACTTCTACTTGTAAAGTTAAAAACAAGAAACTGAGAAAGACTTTAGTAAGGCACTCCTGTGATCCAGGATTTTAAATATTTATCATGAGATTGATATTAGTAACAAATTGAACATCGCAAGTCTTCTTCGAATCAGCTGAGAAAACAAAAAATAAAAATAAAACAAAAAAATATAAAATCTAGCACACACCGAGCATACGCACATTTAATCTGACTCCAGATAGAAATTAAAGTTAAAAATGAAAGGGAGGCACAGGGTTAGAACCCTACTTTAAGTGTCTTCTGCCATGCAATTTTTATTCGTACATATTCCTAACATTCACAAAACAAGTGCAAGAAGAAGATGGGAAGATTTGAGCATTTAAATTGAGCTTGCACAGTCCAACGGCATTCAAGGGGTGGCTTAATAATTGCTCAAGGAAAAGAATTTTAAATTTTAAAAGCACGTGTGGAAAACAAAACATGGGTAGGATATACTTTTGGCCATCATTTCAACATAAAGAATAAAGGCAACCAAACATAAAATATGCAAAATAACAACTCAACTATTTAATTATACCGATTAAAATCACCAGATTCTTTGATGGTCTGTAATTTCTGAGACTTTTTTTTTCCCCTATTGATGTGGCAACTCTAGATAAAAATTCAAAATATAGTATGACAATCGTATAACTGAAACTTATCTAAAACTTTTGTCCCAAATGTGTGAATTGAATCATTAAAGACCATCATCAAACTTGAATCACAATCAACTCAAGCCTTCAGATTTATCTTGGACAAGATTCAAAATTAAATAAACATTACAACTCAATGAGGTTTTGATAAGACAAAATTGCCAAGGCGTGACACCAAGTCCTTAAATTATTCTTTACTTTAAACTTTTCGTTTGGGCTCCTATGATCATATCAAGGATCCAGATATACCGAACCCTAGATCACCATTACTCGAGGATTATAACAGTGATTAAAGGGTTAGATCAATTCTCCCAATTTTCATGATTCAATTTGGTTTTGAAAGATTGCCATTAATCAGGTTTAATTTTTCTCTTTTTCCCAAAAAAAAAAGTTATTTACTTTCCCTTTAAACAAATCTGAGCATGGGTTGTGTTCTCTCCCCTCTGATTCCTTTTTCTTTCCTTTCTTTTCCCCAATTAAAAACTAAACTCAACATATGCAAGGCAATCCCAAGCTGACCACTAGCCTAGCCCAATTACACCAAGCTAATCTTGAAAATATTTGAGCTCATGACGATCCCGAACCAAGTTTAAACATAGGCACAACTTGACCCATTGAGTTCAAGTAGTCCAAAACTCAGGTTTGATCGATCCCAACATAGGTGTTGCAACAATAAGAGACTATCACTGCTCCATAAGAAGCAAAAACAGCAACTACATCCAAAATTGAAGCATTTAAAATTTATTTTTGGGTTGCACAAAGTTTTTTTTTGATAAGTAAAAATATATTAGAAAGACGTTCAAAAGGGGAACGCATCCCTAATACACAAAAACAAAAGACCAAAAGCCAAACCTATGGACCAACAGAGTCCAATAGAACAAAAAAGTCATCAATCGAGGAGCAAGTGCTGCCTCTGACATAACAAAAAAGAGAGTGTAGGATAAAAGACTTGCAAAAGACGATTCCTTCCTCTCAAAGTTTCTGTTATTTCTCTCTTTCCAAATACACCACCAAACACAATGTGGGGCGACCCTCCAAAAATTACAAGCATGACCAGAAACAGGGCATCTTCTCCAAGCATTAATTAATTGGAAAGAGTGCTTAGGCATTACCCACTGAACGCCAAAAATACTAAATATGAGATTCCAGCAATCAGATGCAACAGGACAATGCATAAGAAGATGGTCCACGGACTCACCATCAGTTTTACAAAGACAACACCAATTAACAATGGTATTACCTCTCTTACGCAGATTATCCAATGTTATAATTTTTCCCCAAGTAGCAGTCCAAACAAAGAAGGCAACTCTAAGAGGAGCTTTAGAGAGCCAAATACACTTCCAAGGGAAATCATATCCAATAAAATTAGATAAACACAAGAACATGGATCGAACTTCAAATCTACCATGAAAAGAGGGAGTCCACAAAATATCATCACAACCTCTGCCAACATCTTTCTGTCTATACAACAGGTCCAAGAAGACACAAACTTCAGCTATCTCCCAATCCTGAAAGGAACGCCTAAAACGCACATCCCACGTAACTCCACTATTATCAAGATGATAACAGTCAATTACATAAGCATGCTTATTCTCGGCAATGCTAAAGAGACGAGGAAAAGAAAGAGACAACAACTGATCACCACACCATAAGTCTTCCCAAAATCTAACATACATACCATTACGAACCTTGAACCGAATATGGGTGGAAAACACATCCAAACCTTTCCGAATGAACTTCCAAACGCCAACGCCCCCGGTAATAGAAACAGGACGAGAGGACCAACCTCCACTCTCTTCCCCAAAACGACACGAGATAACTCTTCTCCATTTTCGATGACGTTCTTTACCAAATCTCCATAACCACTTCCCCAATAAAGCTCTATTGAAAGGGACTAACTTCCGGATACCTAAACCGCCAAACTTCAATGGTTTGCAAACCTGCTCCCATTTAACAAGATGATACTTAAACTTCTCTCCTTTTCCACCCCAAAGAAAATCTCTCTAAATTTTTTCAATTCTTTCAGCAACAGAACACGGGATCTGGAATAGAGATAAGAAATATGTGGGAAGGGGCGAGAGTGCTCTTAATAAGAGTAACCTTCCCCCCTTTCGAAAGATACTGTTTTTCCCACCCCGCCAATCCTTTTTCATACCTGTTAATCACCGGATCCTAAGTCCCCACTATCCTAGAGGAGATTCCCAAAGGTAAGCCCAGATAAGGGAGTGGAAAGGCACCCACTCCACATCCAAGAACAGCAGCTAAAGTGAAAATATTAGAGACCTCCCCCACTGGGACAAGCACACTCTTTCCAACATTAATCTTAAGACCAGACACAGCTTGGAAGCATGTAAGAATGCACCTCAAATACTTGAGCTGGGAAACATCAGCATCACAGAAAACCAGGGTATCATCTGCAAACAACAAATGGGATATCTCGATCTGGTTAGCAACATCTCTACCAACAGTGAACCCCCTTATGTAACCCAGATTCTCTGCCTTTTTCATTAATTTACTCAATCCCTCCATGACAATGAGAAAAAGAAAAGACGACAAAGGATCTCCTTGTCTCAAACCACGCAAACTCGAAAAAAAACCAGCAGGAGAGCCATTCACAAGCACAGAGAACATAACTGATGAGATGCAAGATTCAATCCATTTTATCCATCGATCTCCGAACCCCATTCTCCGAAGCAAATAAAGAAGAAATTTCCAATTCACGTGATCATAAGCTTTCTCGATATCCAGTTTGCATAGAACACCAGGAACTTCACTCTTCAACCTGGAATCGACACATTCTCCTGCAATAAGAACAGAATCTAAAATCTGTCTACCCCCAACAAAAGCATTTTGTGACTCTGAAATGATTCCATCCAAAACAGTCCGCATTCTAAGAACAAGAACCTTGGCAATAAGCTTATACATACACCCCACTAAACTGATTGGCCGAAAGTCCTTAATGTCAGGCATTGCTCTTCTTAGGAATAAGAGCTATAAAACATGCATTTAATGATTTCTCGAATGTGCCATGAGAATAAAATTCCTGAAAAGTGCCCATTACCTCATTACGCACCACCTCCCAACTCTCTTTAAGAAACCGCATAGTGAATCCATCTGGCCTGGAGCTTTATCACCATTACAACTGGATAACGCCTTAAGAACTTCCTCTTCAGAGAAAGGAACCTCAAGCATATCACTATCCAGCGTAGAAATAACATTGAAGTGCAAACCATCAAGTTTTGGTCTCCATTCCAAAGTCTCAGTATAGAGCTGCTAATTAAAAGAAACAATACCCCCACGCACCTCATCTTCCTTCCACAGCTCTGAACCATTCACACGAATACGCCCAATATTATTGTATCTTCTATGAGCGTT